TGCAGCCGCGTTTCTAATAAAAACACTAGTATTGGTGAATGGAAGAAAACCCTCCACATTTGGATTTTCTACAGTAAACTGGATATTGGGATCTTGTGAATTCAAACTGTCACGTGTTTTCTCCCACGGATCTCTTTCACTGAGAGTCTTCCCTCATTGAAAGACCTTCAGCTGGATGGTGGTGAAGCTACGTGACGCGACCCCAGGTGGCAGATAGGGTGTAAATCGCAGAACGCAGAAGCACCATGTACCTAGATCATTCCAGGGGATGGACTCCCTGTTTCTGCAGTGCTGTGTTGATTCATACCAGCTATGTCTCCACTCAGGCGTATCCATACATGCTTGCGTGTGTGGTGCGCTCTGTTTGTGCGGTTGGTATCCTGCAGGTCGGCAAAGTCAGAAGCGCGCATTCAAGTCACTGGGAGCGGTTGGAGCAGGGTCAACCGTCCGTTCGAACTGTTCGAACGAAGGGGTCGCATTTTGGTCGGAAGGGGGTCGCAATTTCGAGGACTGCCAGCCACAGGCGCGTGCGTGGCGTATCCGAGGGCAAGAATTGTTTGTGCAGACCGCATTAGATTCGATTAATTATGCACAGAGAGACAGTTTTAGGCAAATTACGGTGTTTTCCTTGAGGAATAAAGAACAGTTGAATGCATCCCTATGAAAGGTTTGACTTCTCGGGGCTGAAATTAAAGTTCTTCGGGACCTGATTTTCTGAGGACGATTCTTCCAGACAACGGTAAAACACATAAGAAAGCAGAAATCTCGTAGTCTTCAAAAATGTCTTCGCCCCTCCCCAACAAGTTCTTTGAAGGAAGTTATTATTGCTGAAAGCTCAAAAACTCGCATGTGCTGCTCAAAAACCTATGGGAACAAAATGTTCGAACGTGTGATTTTCTCGGAAAATGGAATTTTGAAAAACGGTTTGGTGCTGTTCAGAAAGAGCAAATCCTGCACTTTCCACCCCATGAAAAAAGTGCATCTCAGAAGTGAAAATGAAGTGAGTTATGCCCGCTTAAAGCCCAAACTTCCGTATTTAAAACCGCTCTATTCAAAAAAAGTGTTCGGCAAAACCCCCCCCCCAAAATGTTCGAACGTGTGATTTTCTCGAAAAATGAACTTTGAAAAACGGTTTGGGGCTTGTTAGAAAGAGCAAATCCTGTACTTTCACCCCATGAAAAAAGTGCATCACAGAAATGAAAATGAAGTGAGTTATGGTCGCTGAAAGCCCAAAAACTCGCTTTTGCACGAAAAATGTTCGAACGGGACAATTTTTTGAAAAGGGGACAATCACTAAACTTTTTATACTATTTTGTTAGAGAAATATTTGAGTTTCTGAAACTTTTTACAGATTTCCAAAATGTCGCATACGAAAGATTTTATGGGCCTTCAAAGTTGAAGGTGCGCCTTCTTAGAATTTTGGGTTTTCCACTTCTAACAGAAGTACTTTCCGGAGAGTTAGGCAATCCTTGTAGTTTTCTGAAAGCGCACCTCAGGCACAATCAAAATCTACCTCAACAAGTCAAAAAAATACGTCCCAAGAAAGTTATTCCCCTCTAAAATTTTTTCTTCGCCGCGTCCCGTTCTTCCAGCGCCCGGGTGATACCTGCCGCGCTCCAAGGCCGACGCGACGACGCGCAGACGCTTTCTGGCGCAACGGATTCATGTCTAGCACTCTTATTAACAAAAACAGGGGGTCGCAACTGGACCCCTCGAGAGCTAGGGGTCGCAAAAATCCCGAAAATGTTCGAACGTGACGGTTGACCCCGCGTGGGAGGCCATTCTAAAAACAAAGCCCCTTGTTCCGCTCCAGGATAGCGTGGCTAACTACCTGGAGGTCTATCCTAGCCCGCACGACAGAGCCTGGCAAGCTACTCGTGTGCCTTCAATATGCCGAAAACAGCAATATGGATGGGCCTCATTCCCCTGAACCTGAGGGAGCCCCCAATACGGCAGCGTTGGGTAGGACCGCTCGGGAGAGGCTGCTAGAATCTCAGGGCCCGGATAGGCTGCCTAAACGAAGAAGGACTAAGATGGCGATCTGTACTTTCAACGCACGAACGCTTGCATCCGAAGCTCACATCGAAGATCTGATGATGCAGGCCAGGAAGATCAAGTACGACGTCATCGGACTGACCGAGACGAGAAGGCACCGCCCGCTACACGCCGTTTTCGATACTGGAGAAGAACTCCTTGGAACAGCAGAGGCGTTGGCGGTGTGGGTGTCCTCGTCAACACGCACTTGGCCATAAACATCGATTCGTACGAAAGCCCAACGACCCGAATCGGACGTTCTCACAGTTTCAAAAGCCTTC